CCGCTCCCTCAGCTCCCCGGGTGCGCGCCAGGGGGCGCGCGAGGCCACGCTGCCCGCCGCCGGCCCCCTCTGGAGAGCTCCGCCCCCTCGCGCTCTGCGCACGCGCCTACAGCCGCCGCGGCCCTCCGTAGCTAAAGCGCCCTCAGCCCGTCGGTCACCCCGCGGCGGCATTGTTGGTCTCGGTGCTGCGCTTGCGCGGCTCCCTCCGCGCGCCCAACGCTAGGCTGGCGCATGCGCCCCCTTCGAGGCAGCGCCTGGCTCTGAGTGGGGTTTTCCGTGCGTTCGTGTCCTCTTGCCCTTCCTCGCTCCCCTCCCAGTTTCGCCCAGACTTCCCCCACGGGCCAGAGGCGTTTGAACGAAGGGCAAGGGACACAGCGGGGAGGTCATGAGCGAACCGCTGCGTCCTCTGCGCCGCGCGACGGGGCTGTCGACCCGGAGGGGTCGCCCCGGTAGGTGACTTCCGGCCCAGTGGCAGGTAGCGGCCAAAGCGCCGGGCGCAGCCGGGCACCTGCTGGGCGGTTGCCCGGAGCGGGTCCCAGGCGTCCGCTCGGCCGATCTTCCGCTCTACTTGTTCCGGCGTCTGTCCTGCCGCTCCAGCCGCGACGTCCCAGGCCTCCCCCCACTTCGCTTTGGGACCTCTCAAGCTGGTAGCAGCCTGCGTGGCCTGATCAGTAACAAGGTGGGGATCGCAGCGGCTCCGCCAGTGACGGCTGTGCCGGGTGGCTCGGGGTCCGCCCGAGAGGGGCTTGGGAAGCTCGTGGGAACGAGAATTCAAATGGGAGCCTTTTCCGGTGACCTCTGCGTAGTTATGTCCTAATACGCGTTTCATTTGAACTTTCTGAAGACCTGTGGTGTGGTTTAGTTTGTAACGTCATCATGTTGCCGAGTTTTTCAAATAGTGACGAAATCTGCAGACTCAGATGTAAATATTTTCTGTTTTCCAAGCCCTGAGAGTTTTCTAGTTTTTTTTCCCCTCAGAGTGAAAAAGTGTTTTAGAGGTAAGCAAACTCTCCTGAAGAGAGATCCGCCTGACCTTGAAATTGGGTGGAATTGCACTAGGAAAACGGGTCCCGTGCGAGTCAGCAGTTATTTTAACGGCCGAAGTCTCGGAGCCCTAGCCTCGGGTCTGCCCGCCCGCGGAACTCCTCCCGCTGTGCCAGTTCAGTAAAACCTATTGTCGGTGACAGCCCGCGTGGGGGTGGGGTTGATTGATTCGCGGTAATTAAGCCTCAGGGTGTGTGATGACTGTTTGAACCAAATAATTGGACCACCCTATAATCTAATTATTTCAAACCACGCCAACTTGCACACCATTAAAAGAAATGCAGATTTTAACCATGTGACCGGTCTGGAAATGCAGCTGAAGTTGTATGCACCAGCATAGCCACAGGGAATGGTCCCAGAATCTTCACCCTACTGGAAATAAAGTCCTGTCTCTGTTCTGAGGACAACGAATTTAGAATCATCACCACTAAGAAAAAGAGTCAACTTTAAATTCCTATCTTATGTTTTCTAAATTTAAAAAAAAAAAAGTGCGGGACCAGCAGGTGGCCTTAGTGGTTAAGTGGCTGAACTCCCACATAGTCCACTGTAGTTGAGCCCTAGAGCCAGTAGTTTAAAACCCATGCCCGGTGTGCGTGCCTGCATGCCCAAAATCCTGAGAGGAACATGGAGGGGAAGGGATTGCAGCAAGCCCATCCCCCCCCCGGGGGGGGGGTGATTTCTTGCTTTATAGCAAGAATTTCTCAAAAAACTGAAGAGCACAGATGTTCTTTTTGGAAGACAGACAGTGAGAAAGTGCCTCCCCCCTCCCCCATGGGGAATGGTCATTCTGCAGTCCCTTCTCCATCTCTCCCTCCTCTCCAAATCTGGGGCTAGACACACATATATGAGGAGCATGTCGCTGGTAGGGGCACTCAGACCATCACTATGCCATGTGGGATCCAGCCACCTTAACCACCAGGGGCTGGCCTGCTATCATCTATCCAAATCTTTGTCTTGCTAACTGAATTCAAAACGCAATATGACCTTGAAAGTCATTGAAGTAAGCCCTGTTTAGTTACTTACTGTTTCAATTCCACAAAGAAATGTTTATGGAATGAATTTTTATTTAAGGAAGGGTAGTTCTGTGAGGAAGAGAAGTTTAAACAGATGTATCCCTGTTTCATTTTTCTCTAATGAAAATGTTTCCAGTTGTACCCCCAGTGTCTAGGTGTAGGAAGTGCCCAAAAATATCTGATGGAGAAAAAAGTAAACGTACAGCTATGTTAATAGTGTTTTAAAAATGAAGCGAGCCAGCAGGCATCATGGGGGTTAAGGCACTGGATTCATTCACATGGCACATCATGCCTGGTTCAAGTCCTGGACCTGGTGGCTTGAAAATCACTGGGTGCAGGGGCATGCATGCCTAAAATCCCATGAGGAGAATGGAAGAGAAGGGACTATGATGTGGCCATCCCCCCATCCTCCCCAGGGAGTGATTTCTCACTTTCCCTTTCTCTGTCTCTGTCTCATTCTCTCTTGAGCAAACACATATGCCATATAGCAAAAACCTTTTTAAAAATGTAATTTATTCAACACAATTTATGAAGATCTGCATTCTTTCATATACTTTACTAGGTTCTTGGGATATTGAGGTAGAAGATAGGAACCCTAAAAATGTAGTTAGGGTACAGGCCCAGTGTGGAATCACAAAAAGGTTTAAGATGGAGACAACAGCTCTGCTGCTTGCTGGGCAGACCTCTTGTAGCGGTGGCTCAGTGACTGACCTGGGCAGCAGGACCTAGAAATAAAACAAAGGCTTTTTCCAGGCCCCACCATGTTCCAGGAAGAGGATAAGATAATGGCTTTTAAGGCCCAAAGCCTCTGACCTTCGCACCCACTCCAAAATTAGGAGAATAACTGGACCCATCCAGCCTGTGCAGGAGCCCCACCTGAAAATAAGCCTGAGCAAGGCCTCTCTGACCCAGATAAACACCCCTCACCCAGTTCCTCCTCAGCAACCCATTTTCAGGGACCCCTCCCTTCTTGGGAGCTCTGTTTTTCCTTCCCTCTCCTTCAATAAACTCCCTGCTTTGCTGTACCCACTCTGTGTCTGAGTCTCTAATTCTTCCCGAGTGTGGGACAGGAACCCTAGTCTCACCGCCAGCACTCAGCCTGATCACCTGCACGTCTGTGTTCCTGTGTCGATAAGAAAAAGAATAAGGCTGCTTTGACCTCACCAAACTCACTTGTATTAACTTATTTTTTAAATTTTATCACCATCATTATTTTTCAATCTATTACAGGGCACACGCGCTTACCGGAAATAAGAGAGCGCAAGGGAGAAAGTGAAAAGGCAAGCCACCAGGTCCAGGACTCAAAACACAACCAGCCACGTGGGAGCGAGCCCAATGCTTTAACCACCACACCACCTGCTGGCCCATATTCACTTTTAAAAATAAATAAATAAAAATCCTGGGACCAGCAGTTAGCATAATGACTATGTCACTGGACTCCCATGTAGTTGACTGCGGTTCGAGTCCCAGACATGGTGCTAACACTGGGCGCGTGTATGTGCTGACCCAAGATCTCGAGAGGAGAATGGAGGAGAAGGGATTGCAGCATGTCCATTTCCCCCTTGGGAGGTGATTTCTTGCTCTCTGTCTCTCTGGCGAGCGCACATGCCCTGCAGCAAAACCCTCTCATAAAAAATTTAAAAAATGAATAAATAAAACACTCCGGGCACATGTGCGTGCATGCCCAAGATCCCGAGAGGAGAAGGGATTGTGGCATTGCCATTCCCCCTGGGGATGCTTTCTGCCTCTCAGTTTCTCACTGTCTCTCCAACAAGGTACGCTTCTATAGCAAAAACTCTCTCCAAAAAAATGTATACAGGATGAGAATTTATGTTCACAGAAAGACATGTACACTAATAGAAACTTGTAAGTACGGGGGTAGCAGGTGGCATGGTGGTTAAAGCACTGGACTCCCACTTGGCTTACTGCAGTGTGAGTCCTGGACTTAGCAGCTTACTTTCTCTTTCTTTTTCTCTCTGGTCAAATGGAAGAAGAAATAAAGTTATTCTTTTAAAAAATAAGCTATTAAAATTTTTTAAGATTTATTTATTATTATTATTAATAATATCATTTTTCACATGAGTTTTGCCAGAGAAAGACGGGGGCGGGGGGGAGTGAGAAAACAAGCTGCCAAGTCCAGAACTTGAACCATGGCCGCCACGTGGAAATTCCAGCACCTTAACCACCATGCCACCTGCTGGCCCCAGCTATTAAATTTTTTTAAAGACTGAACAAGCCAATGTATTTAACAAGTGAATGAGTAAACTGGTACTTTATGTCATGAAATTCTACTCGAATGAATTAGTGACACATCAACCTCTTCAAAGAATCTTGAAGGTCTAAGGCTGAGTGACAGAGCCAGTCTCAGAAGATGATATACTGCGTGGTTTCATCTGTATGACACGGATGAAACGAAACTAGTGGAGGAGAGCAGGTGAGCAGCTGCCTGGGGGCAGTGGTGGGGAAAGCTGAAGCTAAGGGATATACCAAAGGCAGAGGGGATTGCAGCATGTCCATTCCCTCTTGGGAGGTGATTTCTTGCTTCCTGTCTCTGGCGAGGGCACGTGCCCTGCAGCAAAACCCTGCAGCAAAACCCTGCAGGTGTGGGGCTATGAAGTTGCTCAGTATCCTGTTAGACAAATGTATGCATATAGTAAAATACCTCACACCTTGGACAGCAGATGGCATGACGGTCACATCGCTGGACTCCCACGTGGTCGACCACGGTTTGAGTCCCAGACCAGGCAACTTAAAACTTAATCCGGGGCAGCAGGTGGTGTGGTGGTTAAGGCGCTGGGCATTCCCACATGGTTGACCATGGTACGAGTCCCGGGCCTGGTGGCTTGCTTTCTCACTTTCTCTCTCTCTCTCTATTTAAAAATAAATGAATGAATTAAATAAATAAAATTAAGTAAATAATTAAAAAAGAAAACTCAAGCCGGGTGTGTGTGGGTACCTGCCCAAAATCCCAAGAGGAAAATAGTGGAGAAGTGATTGTGGGCTTGGCCATCCCCCGGGGGAGAATTTTCTCTTTCTGTTTCTCTGTCTGATGAGTACATGTGCCCTATAGCAAAAATCTTTCTCTCAAAAAAAAAAAAACCCCAGAAAATACACGCACACCATGGAAATAGGGGGAGTGACAGTTAATTCCGCACAGGTGCTCTTGAGCAGGGTCATAATGTGTCCATGTGGACATGTTGCTCTGTCTCGCTAAAGGGCAGCACACAGGCTTCCTTATCGCCAGGGGTGGTCTTGTGACTAGATTTTTGACTATTGAATTACACAGAGTTATTGGGTAGGATTTCTGGGAGATCTCTTTAAAAAGGCAATTTTGTTCTTCCTCTCGTTTTTCCCCTCTGGCTATCTAAACTGCAGAAGGAACACTGAAATTCCTACGCCATTCCTGGGCCCTAGCGTGCCATTGTTCTCCAGGGAACACGCTGGGGACTAAGCCTATCAGATCTCATGGGCGGAAAGGAAGCTTGCAAAGGGGGTTGGCACAACCTTTCTTGTGCCATTACACAGTTTCCTTAAAGATAGGAATCCAGACTTTGGGAAATGTATTTTAATAACTGATCGCCTTGGGTGACTAAATTGAAATGTTTTGTAAACATTCCCAACATTTCACCTGTTTATAACACAGCAAATTAATTTGTCTAATGGTCCAGGGAAGCATTTAGAAACCAGTCTCACAGCAGAGGCTTTCGGACCATGTTCATTGAAGCCCTCAGGGCTGGACTGAGGTGGGACGTAAAGCCCTTCACCACTCCTTCAGCCAGGGTGGCTCTGCTTTACCCGCATTGGAATTCAAGGTGAGATTTTATATAAAGACATGGTATCACTGCTTATTATGTGTATTTATGTTTATTAAAGTTTATTCTCTTGGAAGATTGACTAAGGTCTTTCATTGCTTGAAGGTGCATATTTTTTGAAGAGCAATATTGGCAACGGTAACGTTACAATGTTTTCAGGATAAAACAATCATGACTATTGGATATGAAGGATTTGGATCTTGATTTCCTGTTTGCCTGTGTCTTAGAGTGCAGTGAGATTTTTCCAAGGAAGATGTAGATCCTGCCTCAGGTATGTCCATGGTCATCTCCCTTGCACAGGTAGAGACGTATTCTGTTAACGAGTGTATCCTGGTCACACCTCTTAACTTTTGTTATGGGATGTTGGACCTTCTGACTGCAGCTGACTGCCGTCATTAGTTTCTACCCGTACTGTACAATAGACAATACTCGTACTTCTCAGAGAAGGTGCACTGAAGTCTGTAACTTCAGTAATGAGGCCGGCAGGAGGCATGGTGGTTAAGGGCACTGGACTCCCACATGACTGGCCATGGTTTGAGACCCAGATCTGGCGGTTTGCTTTCTCACTCTCTCTGTCTCTCTCTCTCAGTCTCTCTCCCTCTCTCTTCTCGCTCTGTCCCTCTCGGGTCAAATTTAAAAATAAGTAAATACGTAAATAAAGTTAAGTGAAATAATTATTTTTTAAAAATGTTCAATAATGTTTATGGATAACTTAACGAATACATAGTTATTTACCCTGCTGGATTAGGGTCAGCACACATATGATGCTGCTGTCCCTGCCAAGACCCTAGCCAATATCTTTAATCCGTAACCCTTTCTTTTGCTGAGCTTAGGCTCTTGCTCAAACACGGCTCGTCTCAACTGGGGCTTCTGGCAGCCATTGGCATCGCATCAGCATCTGCATGCAAGAAGAAATTCATTTGCTGTTGCACCTCTAGATACTCTTAAAAGCCTGTCAGAAAGCCATGCACTTGAAATGCATCATTTTTCTCCTTATAAGATTCTTTCCTAGAATTGTGCTTTGGTCTTACATCATCAGCCTACATTAAAATCATAAGAAGAACTTTGAAAAACATATCATAGTTATTGTAGGAGTATCGTTGGAGTGTCTGTCTTCTTTCTGAGGATTCTTTAACATCTGAGAGGCAGAGGTTAAGTAATTGACCCGAGTTCACACAAGGAAGTGAGCTAGAAAGTGAACCAAAGGCTGCCTGATACCATAGCCTCTTTGCCTTTCCTCTCAGGACCCTGAGATTTGCTCCCTGCCTTGGCTGCCAGCTGCCTCCCAAATCTGCTTCCCTCCTGCATCTAGATGGTCAGTCACTCTCCGTTCCCAGGTGCTGAGTTACCTACTTTTTCTCTGCATTTATTGATTCCATTTCTGCTCTTCTTTTTTTCCCTGCCTCTTCCTATCCTTCCTCATAAGCTTTTTCTAGACAAACTCTCCCCGCATTTACTCATCAACCCATTACCGTCTGACATGTGTCCCAATCATTTTTCTGAAATTACTTTATTAGAAGTCACTGGTGACCTCCTAACTGCCAGATCTGATGACACCTTCACCCCTCATCTTGCCCATCTCTGTAATTTGGCAATGCTCATTGTTCTTCCTTCATAAAGCCATCTTTGCTTCGGGCCTCAGTGACAGATTGCTCTCCCAATTTCTCCTCTCTCAAACCACATCTTGATTTTCCTCACTGGACCCTCTTCTTCCCATGTAATGTAGGGGTCTCCAAGGACCTGTCCTCGGCCCTGTCCTCATGTTGCAAGCCTGTTTGGTGTCATTATCTGTCCTCACAATTTCAACCTCTCTCTCTGAAGATGGCCCCCAATCTAAACCTTCAGTCTGGATATCACCCCTGATTGTCAGACTACTTCATTTGTCTCTTTCTCTAGATTACAAACTATTCAAGGACTGGGCTATATCTTTGTTATTTTTTTGTTATCTCTTTATTCTCAGTTTTGTAGTACAGAGCCTGAACATAGTCTATGCTTAACTTTTATTTTTTAAAGAATTATTTTATTTAACTTTATTTATTTATTTTAATTTGACCACAGAGAGACAGAATGAGAGAGAGAGAGAAGGAAAGTGAAAAAGCAAGCCTCCAGGTCTGGGACTCAAACCGCGATCAGCCATGTAAGGGTCCGGCGCCTTTAACTGCCACACCACCTGTTTGCCCCACTTAACTTTTTTTAAAACAAAGTTGCTTGCAAACTTCCCTTTATACTTTAGAAACCATCCAATGTCATGTAAAAGGTACTTAGTCACAAATACTAATTAATACCTACCATATACATGGCATTGCTCTAGGCAAAATGTTTCCTTTAGATCCCTGGAACATCCTACAATCAGTATATATTTAATTCAACCTTTTTATCTTCCAAGGCTATATCTATAATTCTATATTTTATCTACTCTATGAGGCACAATTTTTTCACATTTTAGTATCTTTGAAATCAAGATTTGCTAAGGTATTATGTTATAGTTTAATTGGCAGCATTTTTTTGATGGTTTGTCTTTTTTTCTGTTTTTTTTTTCTTTTGAGAGATTTTTATTGTTGGTTGTGTGTACTTGCTAAAGAGACAGAGTCAGAGAGACAGAAAGCAAGAAATCATGCCCCAGGAGGGATGGCCACACCACACTCCCTTCTCCTCCATTCTCCTTTCGGGACTTTGGGCACATATGCACATGCCCCCGGCGTGAGTTTCAAGCCACTGGGTCCAGGATTTGAATTATGGTGACTACGTGGGAGTCCAGCGCCTTAACTATTATGTCACCTGCTGGCCCCAATAATGGTTTATCTCTTTGTTTTAATAATGATTATTTATTATTATTATTTTTTAATTTGACCAGAGAGAGAAAGGGAAATTGAGAAAGCAAACCACCAAGTCCAGGACTTGAACTGCAGTCAGTCATGTGCGAGTCCAGTGCCTTAACCACCCTGCCACTTACTGGCCCCCAATGATGGTATATCTTAGCAATGACATTTTAGTATCTTTGAAATCAGGATTTGAGGGACCAGCAGATGGGGTAATGGTTACATCACTGGACTCCCACATAGTTGACCACAGTTTGAGTTCTGGGCCCGGTGGCTTAAAACTCACACTGGGCACGTGTGCATGCATGCCCAAAATTTTTTTTTTTTTTTTGTTTTTTTTTGGGGGGGAGAGGTTTTCGCTACAGGGCGTGTGCGCTCGCCAGACAGACAGAGAGAGACATAAAGACAGAAAGCAAGAAATCACCCCCCAGAGGGGATGGTCACGCCGCAATCCCTTCTCCTCCATTCTCTTCTCGGGATTTTGGGCACGCATGCACACGCTCCCGGTGTGAGTTTTAAGCCACCGGGTCCGGGACTTGAACCGCGGTCGACTATGTGGGAATCCAGTGACATAGCCATTATGCTAACTTTTGGTTCCTGCATGCCCAAAATCTTGAGAAGAAAACAGGAGAACAGATTGTGATGTGGCCGTTCCCCTGGGGGGGGGGGGGGGGGGGGATTTCTCGCTTTGTGTCTCTCTTTCTCCCTCTGTCTCTGGTGAGCACATGCACCCTGTAGTGAAAACCTCTCAGAAAAAATAAATAAATAAATAAAAGATGAAGAAGAAATCAAGGTTTGATAAGGTGTTGTGTCAGTTTAATTGGCAGCATATTTTTAATGGTACACAAAATAATGATTCATCTTAATGACATTTCAAATTTTATGAAATACAGTATTTTATACTCAGAATTAAAGTTAGAAACTTCATTCTAATACATTTCATCCACTAAGAAATGTTTGGTAATTCTGAGTGTCCTGGACTTTCTAAGGCAATAAAAAGAGATTTTTTTAAAGGCTTTTCAATAATAAGTGTTAAAACTTGCTGAAAAGAACCAGTGACACAGCAGGTTTGCACATCTAAACATCTCCTTTGGTCTAAATATATAGCAATGATAGGTAAAATATAAAAAAGAAAGCCAAAAAGAAACAAGCTCAAAAACAATGAGCAAGTCTATGAACCCAAGACAGACAGCAAATGCGAACAGTGAGTGGGTCTGCTGCGGCGGCCTGTCGGGCAGCGCAGAGGCAGGCAGTAGTGCCTGGGATTTTTTTTTTTTTTTTTTTAAATCACCTCCCACGGGGGAAGACCACACTACCATCTCCTTTCCTCCACTCTCCTCTCAGGATTTTGGGAACACACATGCACGCGCCTGCTGTGTCTCAAGCCACTGGGTCCAGGACTCAAACTGCGGTCTACCAAGTGGGAGTCCAGAGCCCCAACCACAGCACACCACTGGCCCCGGTGCCTCCGATTTTAACACCCAGAGACAGAGCACCAGAATCAGGCTCTGGGCTTAAAGCCTCCTTGCCCCCATAACACAAACACGCTCACATTTTTTGTAGTCAACAGGTTTTCTTTATAGCTTTGTTTATTTTAATAGATACATCTCAACAGCAAAAAATAATACTGCAACATTTCTTTATACAGAGAAGTCATGTTTGTTTACGCTGTCTTTCACTTTCCTCCTCTTTATTAAATCATTTGTGTTAGCTTGCGAATCCTTCCAGCATCTCTCCCTGTGACTCTGTATTCTCGTACTTACACAAAAGCTGTCATACCGTATACACTGTTCTGTACGTTGTGAACTGTACATACAAGAGATTGCTCCTTATCAGGACATGGGGACTTTACTCATTCTGTTTTGGCTTTGCAGCCTTCATCATGAGCGTGCCCACATCTTACTCAAGTGTTCTCTCTTGCCGGACATGCCTTGTTTATAAATGTCCCCTGTTCCTGTGTCACAGGAGCAGCCTGTGCCTGTCGTTTCACACTCCCACACACCTTTGTAAACGGGCAAAGTAAAATTGCTCCCAAATCCTGCCCAGGGCTACAGCTTTATAGGAAGTTAAGGATGTAGCTAAGTAGAAAGACAAGAATACAGCCTTGCAGCCAGGACCTAAGGGACCCCTGCCCCCCGATCTTTTAGTAATGGAGGAGCCCCTAACCCCTCATAGCCCTAGTTATAGCGTAGAAGATTGGGAGGTGGGGTGAAGGTGACTGCAAAACTAGTAAATAAATGAAAGAGATTTTGTATGTGTGTGTGTGTGTGTGTTTTTCTAAAATGTATTTTAAATATATTTAATTTAAAGAGTAAATTAAATGTAATTGAATTTACTTAAAATTTATTTAACATGTATTAAACCAGTTTATCCAATTTTTAAAATTGGGTCTGTACCTCAGCCCTAGTCCAAGATGAATTTTTTAGTTTTTTGTTTGTTTGTTTGCTTAGAGATTTTTGCTGTAGAGCACGTGCACTCACTGGAGAGACAGAGAGACAGAAAGCGAGAAATCCCCCCCGGGGGGATGGCCAGGGCTGCAGTCCCTTCTCCTCCACTCTCCTCCTGGGGTTTTGGACATGCACGCACATGTACCCGGTATGAGTTTTGATTTCCTAGGTCCAGGATT